ATGAACCGGAATTTGCAGATCCTTTCGACATCTTCAGTGATCTGTAAGAAACACAAACGGAGCAAAAGCATTACGAACTGATGAAAACGCGAAGCTCGTGAACAGGGTTTCAAAATGCTTAAACGAACAGCAATCGTAAAAGAAAACAGATCGTAATGTAAAACTAATGGAACGAAATCGAAGATAAACATGAACATGGAAGATAAAATCGACAGACGATCACTAAAATGCATATGAAATAGGAAATGTGTTCATAAACGATTAGAACCAAATGCAGATGAATTAAACAAGCATAAAGATGAAATGATGAAGAGCATGAAGGAAGTAGAGGATCAGGGTTAGACCTTCGTTGTTTGAGTGGGATTTGAAGCAACGTATGAAGGGGTGAGGGGTTATTTGTAGTGGGGTATATAGAGAAAACGACAAAATGTGCAGGAGAAGGAGAAGGGAGGATTGGTGTGCAGGTTTCCGTTAACGGAACCGTCAGCCGTTGAGGCACGTTTCAACCCGACGTTACCCGTACACTCACATCACTGCCACATGTGTGGGGTGTTAATAAGACCATATAATATCATGATTTAGCAATATAATTGGGAAAGTACTTAGGCTATTATTAGAAATGGTTTATCATTTAGACACCCTAAATAATTTTTAATATATAATTTTTAAGTTATTTATATCGTCTGAAATTGCATTGTTTTATGAAAAAAGATGATTTTTAAATAGTTATCTATAGATTGACTTTTGATAAAGGTGTTCATAGGATATATAAGGGATGTCTTAATAGTAGCAATTTATTAGAAAACCATTATTCCATTTAGGGCGTTTGGGATTTTGTTTTATGGATTAATTTTGATTTGATATTAATAATAAAAAATTCAAAGTGTTTGAATATATAGATTTCATAAGGAATTAAATAAATAATTTTTGATAAGTTCTTTTGATAAGTTATTTCTTTATTACATATAAATTTTGATTTTGCTAAAAAAATAACTATTAATTTATTATGTTTTGATAACGGATAACTAATATAGACATTTTAAAAAAAACTCATTTTGAAAAAAAAAATGTAATAATCACTTTTATAAAAAAAAACATAAATTGTTTTAGATAAGCAATCTCACACACCCCCTTAATGAATTGCTAGAATTAGGAATCATTGGTGGACATTAGTGGAGCACGGGAGGTCTCGGGCCACAGCTCCGATTTAAGCACTTAGTGTAAATTTTATTTTATTTTTATTTTTTTAGTAGGTGCAACATCTTAAAATACGAGTGTCATTACTAATTGAAATTTGTTTGGAAATTTTTTTTGGGTGCGACTACTAAAACATTCTGCGTCCGCTCCTGTTAGGAACTATTGTTTACGAGTTTCATATATATTATTTCTCAATAACATATATAAAAACTAAACCGACTAATCCATGCACTTTAAGGTAGTTTATGTATTTAGTCTCCAACTTTTCATTTAATTTTGACTATTTACATATTTTGTTTTTGTTTCGGTTCTAATCACTAGCCGACTTAGATTGGTTATTTTGCCCTTTGTCTTTAAAAAAAATGATTTCATTTTTTTGCCCTTCTCGAAATATCATTGACACTACCTCTTCTCACGGAAAAGCTCGTCACCACCTTTCACCCCCTCTTAAAAAATATATGGTGACAACCACACTCACAACATCGCAACTCTTTCCATTTATATCCAAAACCTGCAAAAAAATCAATGTCTCATTTCAATAAAATTATAAGTTCTTAATTCAAACCAAGTATAACTTAACATGCTTTGTTTCTTAAAAACTTGGGCTACTTAGACTTGTAGCCAGGGGTTATAACCAGAGAGAATGTATAAACTATGAAGAAACCTTCTCTTGGTGGCTAAGCTTGTTACCGTAAGAATTTTCTTAACTCTTGTTGTGAGCAAAAACTGACTCATAATTCAGCTTGATGTTAATAATGTGTTTTTATATGTCAATTTATACAAGGAAGTATGTATGACACTTCTACCTATTATACAAATGAGAAAATTAAAGTATGTAGGCTAATTAAATCATTGTATGTATAAAATGAAGCATCCATGAAATGGAATGAGTGTCTCACTTATTGTCTAATTGAATGTGGTTTTAACTAGGGTTTGAATGATTATTCATTTTTTATAAATCATAATAAAAATGTTTTTCTTGTGCTCTTAGGTTATGTTGATGACATTGTTCTAACTAGTATCTATTCAAAGGTGTTAAATTATATTAAAGAATTTTTGAAATCTAAGTTTAAGATTAAGGATTTGGGAAATGTTGTGTAACATCTGAAATAGGTACTCGATCTCCCAATGTTTTGAATTTAATAAGAATGAAAGGCCCGAATTTAGAAGGGATTCGTCTGGACGTGTGGCCATTTTTAAGGCTCACGACATCACACATAAGTGTTCACGTCGTGAGATCATGCCAACCCTAATCTCGTGTTTTCCTCCCTATTTAAGAGAAGTAGGAGGCTAGGGTTTGTACACCCTCAGCCTCCATCACCCCCTTCTTGCCCAAATCGTTCTTAGCCTCTATTGGTGACCTTGAAGAGCTCATTTTGTGGTTTTTGGCTCTTTGAAGAAGAATAAGACTCCTTGTGTGTATCCTTTTGGCAATCAAGCTCCTACCTCATCATCTTGCAGTGCTTTTGGAACTTTGTAAGTCCTAAAGCTATTGCCTTTATCTCTTATGCATGCTAGATCTAAGATTTATGCTTCTTTTTTTCATGTTTGGGTTGGGTAGCATGCATCAGATCCATAAAGTTAGAAACTTTATGGATCATTGAGATATTTTATGTAGTATAAGGTCTAGTTATGAGGTTTGGTGTCGGTTTTAGACTCCAAGCATGAGTCATGATCCCATTTCCTTCTTATTGACCCAGTTAGTGTCCAAGTCATGCATTAGACATGCATTACTGAAAAGCCACTATTTTTATGGTCATTATAGTTGGGGAAGACCCTCTGGAAACTCTCAAGGAGTAGCTTAAGGGATTAAGAGCTTAATGCTCAAAGCTGTCCAAAACGGATCTCACGACGTGAGGGATAACATGTCACGTCGTGAGATGTGGTGTTTGTGACAATTTTGTCATTTTCCAGTCACGACGTGACCTATGGGTGGTCATGATGTGACTGATGGCTGAAGTTGACAAGTGTTGACTTTTGACCATGGTTGACTTTTTGACCATGGCTGACTTTGGGGTCAAGTTAGGGTTTTAAGGATGTAGGCTGAAAAGGTATGTCTTTTCTGCTGTTAGGTGTCTTGTTGCTACTGTCAACCGTATATGTGAGAGTTGTTGTAATTCTAGTTGTTATTCACAAGGAGAGTCTTCTCACTACATTTAATTGTATGGTAATTTTCACTACTAGAAAACAACCCTTTAATGACGCGCAAACAATGACACGCGCTGATAGAGGATACGCATTTGTGCGTGCCCTAAAAAATAATGACAGTTTTCTAAAATTTGAAGGATAGAGGACACGCCTTTTTGCATGCCCTAAAACTAGTGTCCAAAAAAAAAACACGGAGGGCACCAATCATAAAAAGTGTGTCGTGTAAATGTGTCGCTTTATATTTTTTTTAACGAAGGCGTGGTCTCTGTTTTTTAATAGCCCATGGGGGAAATGAAATCCCAAAAAATTAAACACCCCGCCTAATGCATCTCCTTCTTCTCCTTCTAAAATTCTCTACCAAAAAACCCTAATAATCTTTTAAGCAATTCGTCTTCCTCTACCTCTACACTCAATCTCTCTATCTCTCTCTCTCTCTCTCTCTCTCTCTCTCTCTCTCTCTCTCTCTCTCTCTCCTTTGGAATTAGATTCTTGAAATATCGAAACCCTAATCGTAGCCCTAACTACGACATGTCTTACCAACCGTGATCTTCAAATCACAACGAAAGCGACGACCACCATGACAACCGTCGGCTATACAACCCTTACCAAGATCTTAGAGTCCCCGCACAAACCCTGTACAAACTTCCCACATCTCCTGAATACCTCTTTCAAGACGAATCTATCGCTCAACGGAGTTCATGGGGCGAAAACCTGACATACTACACCGGCATCGGTTACCTCAGCGGCGCAGTAGTTGGCGTCGGGAAGGGTTTAGTAGAGGGCGTGAAGGCTTCTGAGGCTAGAGACACCATGAAACTTAGGGTTAATCGGAATGAAATACATGGTGGCTGGATTAGCGATTGGAGCGTGGTGGCTGGATTAGCGACTGGAGCGCTTTACAAGGCGGCGGCGGGCCCTAGGTCGGCGGCTGTTGCCGGAGCTATTGGTGGAATAGCGGTGGGATTAGCCGTGACGGGGAAGCAGATTTTGAAGAGATACGTACCAATCTGTGCTCGATCTGTATATAATTTCGTCTTACTACAAGTTTTGGTCTTTTGAGATTTCCAAGTGTGGTGGCTGTGAATACTCCATCGTCAAATAGTTTGCATAAACACGATGTAATAGAAGAAGGGAAGGAAGTGCTAGAATTTCCTAAAAATGAAACAGATTTGGGTGTTGTGGAGGAGCCACCGGTGGTGGTAAGTGAAGTTGAAGCATCTAAGGATAATAGCGAACTAAAAGTTGAGCCAGTGATGAAGGAGGCCGACGGTTGGACTTTAAATGCTAAAATTAAAGTGGAAAAGGATTCAACTTTCAGTGCCACAGCAGGATTGCAGACGAACATAAGCTCTGATTTGAATGTTGAGATTGGTCCTGGTGTATATTCTGATGAAAAACCACCATTTGTGGTGGAACTTGATGGATCTCTACCTTTCTACATGCTCGATGCATATGAGGAGTTTTCTAGTTCTAATGTTGGCAATATCTATCTATTTGGGAAGATATTTTAGCTAATTCAGTTACATCTCAGTTGACCCTGTTCATTTGTATTCTAACGCTTGAGTAATTATATAAGACTCACTATTTTATCATTCTTACCAAGATAAAGATTGATCTTGATCTTTAATAACTTTCATTTGAATCAAGGTCAAAGCATGAAGTATTTATCACAGCTGTTGTGTGGTGGTGAAGAATATGCAAAGATGCATGTATGTTATCCCAAATGGCCCTGTATTTGAAGACTCTGTTATTATGAAGCTTTTCACACCAAGCTTCATGTAATACACCTCTTGCCTTTGTTCCCCTTTTCTTCTTTAAATTTACCAACATCATATTGCTTATATTATTATGTACTATCTATTTATGCTTTTTATTTTATTTAATCAGGAGATGGCATCTGGACTGAAGGCCAACATAAAAAGACAGTTGCTTGACCGAAATGTCTCTAACTTTAGCATGAAACCTGTCAACTCTAAAATGAACTTGTATTTTCTAGTGCTTATGTACATGTGCAATTTGAAAATGATTTCATGAATAATTAGAATCGGATATTCATTTCTTGGATATTTATAAGTTATAACCCCTAAACAGCTAAAACCTATACAATAAAACTTTATTTGAAATAATCTGATAATCATTTCCAAATCCCACATCTCGAGTTTATAAAAAAAATAGCCTTTCTTCTAATTAACTCTACTTTTAACTTAATTTTTCTTCTATTTGTCATGCATGTTGTATTTGCAGACTTGTTATCATGAACCTTGTCAATGTATCAAATGGGAAATCTCTTCATGTTCCATATCATGATTCAAAGTTCTACAGTGGAGAATGTTACATCTTCCAGTATACATATCCTGGTGAAGATCAAGAGGAATATCTTATAGGGACATGGTTTGGAAAACAAAGTGTCGAGGTATTTAATTATTTTGCAATTAAATTAAATTATCTTATCTTTATTTTTAGCTTATATATTTAAACAAATATGTCTTTTAGGAAGATCAACATTCAGCTGGCTCACAGGAAAACAAGATGATTGAGTCACTCAAGTTTATGGCTGCTCAGGTTGATCATTAATTTACTAACATTTCTGTTATTATTTTATCAATCTCACCTTGTATTTATTTATACTTATAATTGGTTGATTTCATGGATTTGTAGTTGCAAATTTACGAAGGAAGAGAACCTGTTCTTTTATTTGCGATCTTTCAGAGCTTTCTTGTTTTTAAGGTATGCTTCAACTCGGATGCTATTATAAAAATTAAAAAACATAGATTAGAGATTAAATATTTGTTGATCATTTGCATTTATTTATGGAATTCTTAGGGGGGTTTAAGTGGTGGATACAAGAATTCTATCTTAGAGAAGGAACTTTCGGATGAAACTTATAAAGAAGATGGGGTTGCACTATTTAGAGTTCAAGGGTATGGACCAGAAAACATGCAAGCAATCCAAGTTGAACCTGTAAGTCCTTTGCTTCTTTGATTTTTGTGTTTACTTTATAAGATTTTGTTATTTATTCATTGTTTAATTTACTTTCTAATTGGCTTGGGTGGCGTCATCATTGAACTCCTCCTATTGTTACACACTACACAGTGGTTCTTCTCTCTTCACATGGATTTTAAATCTTACAACTCCTGAGCTCTAGGAACTTGTTGAGAGGCAACTGGATGTTATTAATGTTTGAAAACCTCTTGATTTTTTTGTTCTTTCTGCAGTAAAAAATAAGTTTTAATGATTATTATAATGTATTAAACTGTTCATGTTTTCTTATTATGATTTACTTTTATGTGCAATACTTGCAGCCAAATATGCAGTCCAAATTACAAAAGGAGGGTTCAGAGTCCAAAATTTTTTTGGAAATTTTAGGTGGAAAATCTGAATACCCAAGTCAGAAAATTGCTAGAGGTGTTGAAAGTGATCCCCATTTGTTCACATGCACATTTTCAAAGGGTTTAAACAAACACCAAATTTTATGCTGGATTTAATTCTTTTGGTTTACTTGCCAACAGCCCAACACAAATACTAATTTTTTTATTTCTTTTTTTCTGAAACTTTGCTGGTTCAGGAGATCTCAAGGTCAATTTTCTCTTTCATATGAATTTCTTTTATTACCCATTTTAACCGAATTTAATAAATTAATTATATCATTGATGCAGGTCACTGAGATATGCAACTTCAGCCAGGATGATTTGATGACTGAAGATATATTTATCCTTGATTGTCATTCCAACATCTTTTTTTCCTATAAAAAAACTTTGGCATGTAATCCTAATATAGTAGATTGCTTGATTTCAGGATTCTTTGGGAGGAAATTCAAAGTTTTTTTTACTTCAGCTCACATTTTTACTTCAGTAAAAAAACTTTTTTTTCCTATAAAAAAGCTCACATTGACCTGGATTGCAATTCTTACCGAGTGCGTGTTGTGAAATTTTATCTCTTCAGGCTACCATAAATGAAGATGCTTTTGGAGATGTTCTTGCAGATTCAACAACCTAAGGTTGGTTTTGCAATAATACAAAATGGTTACACTTGTACATTCATATTCATATAGCAAATATATGGTTCTCAAAAGTGCCACTTGGGTCTCGTTTCTTCTTCTTTTTCTGTCAAATCTCTATACTGATACCATTCTCCTCCCACCTTCCCAATAGGAATTGGGGCCCAGACAAAAATCTCAACAGGTTTAGGAACATGAACATCTAATGAAATCTCCATATCCTTTTTCTACTAAATTTGACCCACTTCTTTGACCGTTTGACCAAGACCAATAGGTTCAACTGTTATCCACCCAAGACCCGAGATTGCCACATCAAAAGCAGGTCTATAAAAAGATAGTTTTTTATGTGGCACCTATAGCAGATACCTGCAAACTTATGGATGTATGTCATACCTGGAATCCTTTCTATTCTATAGCTATACAATGTCAATAAGTTCAGCTACATGGACAATGAAAATGAGAGTTATTTTACATATTTTATGCTTACTACTAGATTCATGATAGACGTCTCAGGGCAGTTTCAGCAACAAACATATGCTCCAGATTGGACTAAATGTAAGGATAAAACTATTCGTATATTTGTAATCACTAAAGGCATAAAAACCTATACGAATGTAGTTTTTTAATCAACAATATTTTTAATGTTGACACAGGTGAAAACAGGTTTGGTTTAAAAGAGTAAGTTTTACCAGTTGGATGGTCATTTGGGTTAATCTGTCATTGTAAGTTATGGACTTAGCGCTTCCCTTGAGTAGTTGTAGAGCTGTAAACAGAAACAAAACAGTTAAGTACAATGACAAAAATACCCTCAAAGAAAAACTTTGCTAACATATAGAAATCAATAAGCAAAGTGACTATTATTTTTTAAATTGGTAAACTATAACAACTAAAGTTGATGTGAGATCAAACCTTCAACAATATGATGATTAATCGTGATACTCTTTATTTCATTAAAACTCTTTCTTTCTTAACCTTTTCTATCACACACATAGACATCTATATTGCTTCCACTTCCAGATGAGCTGGCTTTTCTATCACACACATAAACATCTATTTTGCTTATCCCTTCGTATTGTATAATCACTTTATATATGTCATGCCTTACTTCTTATTAGATCAAAGAGAGACACGACACCTGTAAAATGACATGGTCGTCCAGGGCTCTCTTTCCATCTCTTATGAATATCCTGTTTTTATATGAAACCCAAAAACCAACCATAAAATCTCATGACAATAAAAGTAACTGAACTTCCATTAATCTGTAATTGTATGACTGAACTTCCATTAATCTGTAATTGTTTAACTGGTTTCATAACAACTTTGTTTCACTGTAATGCAGGAGAACCTCTTTTATACAGTTCCACCTGACGCGATTGAGGCCTACAGAAAATCAATTGAATCTCATTTGCTTCGGTTTGAGGTAAATATGGGTGAAAAGTAAAGTATATTGTCCATATTGGTAAAAAGAGTAATGTATGTTGCTATTTCTTGCTCAATGATATTTGTTTCGAAGTCAGGGCCACGAAGTCCATGGTCATTATTTGAAGACCAGTTCAAACTTTTTTTCACTAAATTTTTATGTACTCCCTCCGTCCCAATATTATAGTCCACAGACAAAAAACACACATATTAAGAAAAACATTAATTGCCACTAACTTTATTTAATAAAATGACAGTTTTGTCCTTACTTTGCATTTAATGTTCCATTAAATGCTTAGTTGGTTAAATAATAATGAGGGGGTATTTTGGTAAAAATGTTATTTATTTTTAGAAGTGGACTATTATTTTGGGACAAACCAAAAAGGAAAGATGGACTATAATTTTGGGACGGAGGGAGTATTATATTTGTTGAGAAATAAGTGTTGTTTATAAAATGTGTGTTGTCTCCTCAGGCACTTGTTGTGTTGGTTCATGATATGGGTCCAAACTGGGAGCTTATAAGTGATGTCATTAACAGCACTTTGCAATTCAAGGTAACTATCATATCTGTTGTGTTGTGTTGGTTCATGATGTACATCATTCAACCCCAGACCGTATTTCAAGTTATTCATTGATTGGCTGCTTGACCTTAGTACCCTTGATCCGGTTTTTGAAGGTGCAAACTTTCAGGTGGGTATTCACTTTTCTCTTTTCTCTATCATATCATCTTGTATTGTATTGCATGTTAAGTTACCGATTTGCCCTGTGCAGGTTCTGACAGCTCTAGCAACCTCCTTCCATGCCCTGCAGCCTCTCAAAGTTCCTGCATTCAGGTTATTCTCTTAGAAAGGAAATTGTCAAAGGAGATTGTCAAAGGAGAATTTAGTCATGGATTTCTTTTAATGTTTTACATGTTTTGTTTTCTATAATAAATATTATGTAATATTAGCAATGTGTTACATTACTTACTATTGGAATGATTATTTGTATTTGACATATTAGTACAATGAATTATCTTTATTGTTTATGGTATTTTATTTTGTATTATGAGACTTTTAATGTGTTATTTAATTTGAAAATTAGTAAATCTATCAAAAATATATAATTTTAAAAACATTTAAAATTATGACACGCAAAAATGTATGTCGTCTTCCTTTATGACAGGGGCTTCCTTGATACGCATTGCGTGTCATAAACACGTGCGTCGTAAGATTACGACACGCAAATGCGTGTCGTCTTCCTTTATGACAGGGCCTTCCTTGATACGCATTGCGTGTCATAACTGCGTGTCGTAAATGCGTGTCATAAATGTGCGTCGTAAATAGACGACGCGCAAAAGCATGTCGTCTCTCGTTATGACAGGGCCTTCCTTAACACACATTTGCGCGTCGTCTGAGCGTTTTACGACACGCATTGCGCATCGTAAAAGGCGATTTTTCTAGTAGTGTTTGTCTGTGACCAGTTGGGTCTTAACTGTTGATTATTGTTATGTATGCATTGAATTGTATTTGTAACACTTGATTATGGAGTATCTTCCAGTTTGGTCTTAAAAGTATAAAAGTTTGCATTTTGGTCCTTGTTACGCTAGGCGTAACTTGGGGGTATGAATGACGTACTCTCTTTAAGTCGGCCACGTGGATCCCTTAGTACGTTGGGCGTACCTTAGCATACGTTGGGCGTACTCGCTCAGACCACAAACCCTAATTTTTAGGGTTTGGCCCCTATTTAAGCAACATTAGGGACCTTGAGGTTGCCCCCTCACCAGCCTCATTACCCTAGAAAAATACTCATGAAACCCTAGCCTCCATTTGAGTGTTTGTGAGACTTTGTTGTGATCGTGTGGTGTTTTTGCGTACCTTGAAGAAGAAGAAGCTTGGTGATGAAGCATTGGTTAAGTTGGAGCTTGAAGATCCAGAATCTTCAACATCTTCGCAAGCCTCATAATGTATAAAGCTCTGAACTTTATGACTCTTTAGTATAAATCTTGTATGTGGGTAAAATCTTATGCTCTTTGGTCCCATAAGATGATTCTTGTGAGAAAATGCTACTCAAGAGGTCTTGAGTTATTCTTTTGATGTTTCTGAGGTTCCTTGATGATAAAGTTTACATCTTGATGGTTGAGGACCAACCATGCAAAAGTTTATGGTCCTTTTATGAAGAAAGAATGCTAGATCTAGGATTTGAACCTCTTGGAGCCATGCAAAGGCTTAAAGCTTTCGACTTTATGGATTAAGACCTTATTTACAAGTAGACTTGAGGTTTGGATGTTGAGATCTTAAGGGATTAAGCCACGTGGATGAGAAAAAGCCACTGACTAGTACACTGGGCGTACTTCTAAGTACGTTGCACGTACTGGGTTTGAGTCCCGTTTTCTTCTTCGTTGTTTGGACTTGTACGTTGGGCGTAATCTGGTGGTACGCACGACGTACTTACAAGCTAGGTTTTTAGGCCTTGCACTGGTTTGGGCCATAAGTCTTTATGGGTTTAGGCCATCGTTGGGCCTTAGGTCTTTATGGATTTGGGTCATTTCTGGGCCTTGGGCCATTTTTGGTTTTGGGTCGTGATTAGTTAGGCCTAGTAAGTGAGGGGTTAAATGGTCTTTTACCCTAGGAGTCAAGATTAAGGATTTAGACTCTCAGTTATGGTTTATGGTCTAATTATTAATTAGGGTTTTATTATTTGTGATTTAGTGCGGGAATTTTCCGGTTCAGCAACCCGAGTGTTATTTGTTTATCAGCGGACCGAGGTGAGTTCCTTCACTGTACTCATGGGTCAAAGCACAAATGCGGACCATTGGATTATGTGTGTAGAATAATAGTTGTCTTTGTGACACTTACTGTTATGTATGTATGTGCTTGTTGTCTTTGTGACTCTTACTGATATAATTGTATGCTTAGTTGTAGGGGTGAAATAGACCCGATACCGGTTGAAAAGAGACCGAAAGGGGTGAAATAGACCCGATACCGGTTGAAAGAGACCGAAGGGGGTGAAATAGACCCAGTACTGGTTGAAAGAGACCGAAAGGGGGGGGGGGTGAAATAGACCCAATTATGTTTTGATTGTTATGTATGTATGGTATGGGTATTTTAGGGAAACTCACCAAACTTTGTGCTTACAGTTTTATGTTTATGGTTTCAGGTACTTCTAGTTCGAAAGGGAAGGGCCTGACATGATCGCACCGCATCCACCCATGTTTTCCGCACTTTTATGATTTTAGGAATTGTACTCTGACGACTAATTTACTATGACATACTTTTGGATGGTTTGATATGAATATTTAATGGTTTGGGTTGAATTAAAAGTGAAATTTTTACCTATGACTTTTTGGGATGTTACAAGTTGGTATTAGAGCCTTGGTTTGAGGGATTTGGGCACACTTTCGGGTGTGTCTGAAGTCAAACTGAGGAATTGATAATCTTTTTGAAAGAAAAGAGTTTTCTAAATAAACTTTTATATAGAAAAGGGGTGTGATGTGTGCAACCAACCGATCGCAAGTAAGTATTCCTAAAATATCCATACATGTTATTCTTTCAATTATGTATATGTGTAGAGCATGTTAGATTAGGGCTAACGATCTTCTCAGCATTGCATATTAGGATGCTAGGATAGATGCCTTTAAATGCCAGTTGTATGAACCCTTAGAACTGAACTCTAGTATGGATTTTAGATGATTGGATAGACTGGCCTGGTTTGGTAGTGCTCTGGGTTAGAACTCAAAACTCGAATGCTGCTTTCTTTGTGCTTCTATGGACTCCACTAGTGTCGGCTAATTATTAAGTGAATACTTCAAATTAGATGTTGTGGGGATTAGATAATTCTCGAAGGTTGGGTTCAACTTTGTTTTACAGCTCTTGTTTGAGTCCAACTGTTGTAGAGATGGACCTAGCAGTCGAAAATTATTTGGTACTCGTAACATGTAATTTTATTCGTAAGATAATTAGAAGACATTGGAGGGGAGTCTCTTCTGCAGCTGATAGCAGAGATTGGTGGGGAAAGGTGCCCTAGGAAAGCCAAGGAAACATCTTAGCGCATAAGGTACTCTATAGTGCGAGTGAAGTATCTAATAGTAGGGAAGTGACTTGGAGGATTTGCGTAAGTCCTTGAGGAAGGTATAGATAAATGTGGAAGGTAGTATTGGGCCCGTATTACTAAAAGCACGGGATCTATACCCAAAACAATTTAATGGTTCTGCGGCATATCTCCATTTGGTTTTCCATGAGGTCATTTCGAAAAGATCTTTGGTTTCATCAGAGTTATCAATTGGTCCTGACCAAAAGAATTCATCGCAACCATCTGCGTTATCATCATCTACTAAGGACATCAGTTCGGATGTTTGCTTTTTATTTAGTCCAATTTTTACGAAAACTTGATTAGGGACGGTTTGTACTTTCGGAAATACAGTGGCTTTTGCTTTTAAAACATTCGAACCCTTATTTTCAGCAACACGAACATATTCAACCGAGTTTTCCGAAATCAACTTTTTTTTTTGGTTCAGAATCATTTTGTACAAAATGCTGAACAATCAATCTCATCCTCTACAGAAATTTCACTCATGTCACTATCGTCAAATTCAGAAACATTTCCAGCATCAAAAGTGTTTTCCGAACTCAATTTAGTTCATAAATAGTCAAATTTTTGCACAGTATCAAATTTAATATGTTCAGTGGTGGACGCAGAAAGTTTTAGTAGGGGTGGCACTAAAAATATTTTCCGAAAAAATCTAAATTAGTAGTGTCACTCGTATTTTAAGCCGGCGCACCTAATAGAAAAAACATAAAAAAAAAATTTACACTACGTGCCGGAATCGGAGCAGTGGCCCAGGACCCCCCGGGCACCACTAAGGTCCACCACTGAATATGTTCTTTATCATTTTCATCCAACATTTGCTTTAATATGCTTTTATGTTCTTTGGACTGGATATATGTTTCAATTTTGTCAAGTCCAATTTGTAGGATTCAGAAACATCATCCGAGTACACAATGGATTCACACTTATAGCATTCTGCATCGATTTCATCATCTTTCAATTCGAGAAAGGGTAAAATCATTTTGTGTATCTTTTTACCTATTTCACAATCAAGATGCAGCTGAATAATATTGAAATATAAATGCTTTGCAATTAAACAGAAAATATTTCGTTGTTTCAAAAGCGCTAAATTGTCTCTTTTTAAATAAATAACATCATCCCTAGACGTAGTCAGCTCTAACTCCAACTTCTCTATTCACATCCATCTCTCTTCACTCTTGTTTGTTATCCTGCTGATTTGATCAGTTAGGTTAGAATTACTTAAATGTGTTCTTTTTAAGCTATCACTTAAACTAGAGACAGTAAATTTCAAATCATCTAATTCTAATTCGTAACGAGTGACAAGAATATTAAGAGACTGGAGTATAGATTGTACCTTACTGATGACTTTCTCCCATTGACTGACCTGTTCAGAAACAGGTCTTGTAGCAAAACTGTTGTTAGAGGCTTGGCCGCTATCAGTGGCGTATCCTCTCTGCTCCGAGACATCACCGCGAACCATCAAGCATTTCCCCTCGTACTCAGGGACTTCAGACTTCACTATGAAGCATCCACCATGCGTGGGCTTCCGAACTTCCTCGTATTCTGAATCAGTTGACCAAACTTCAACACTTCCAAACTCATCACTATCCTCCTGCACACAATCAAAGCATGCTTAACACTATCAACACTCTTTTTCTTTCTAAGCTCTTCTATCTTTTGAAGATAGTAAGCTTCATCTTTCTCTTCTTCCTTCTTTTCTATTATCCTTCTCAACATACACTCTTTGGCAAAATGGTTATTGCCATGGCAGTAGTTACAGTCGTACCCAGAGTCTCCTAACAATTTATTCTCTTGTTTATGTTCATCCTTTTGGGAGCTTTTGGA